ACACAGGGCAGTGTGCGCAGGTTGGTCTGAACTCCCATCCTCTCACCCTGCTGCAGGAATCTTCGTGCTCAACTTGGTGTGCCGCGATGCCTGGCTGAAGGAGTCAGTTCTGGCCACCCTCAGGGAGGTCTTCCCAGTGCTCTATGTGCGGCGCATTGAAGGGGAGGTCAACGAGATCCTGTTCTGCCAGCTCAGCCCTGAGTGCCAGTGGGCCCCCACAGAGCTGAGGGCACGTGCCCGGGTGCTGGAGGGGGCCCTGCGGCAGCCTGGGCGCCCCTGGGACAGCTCGTATGTGCTGGCGGACATGCTTCAGGCTGTCAAGATACTCTGATAGGGGCCGTGTTGCCACTTGGATGAGAGAGACATCCTCACATGGGTGCTGTGGCCCTACAGCAAAGGGATACCTGTGGCTGGAACTGCTGCCCCCAGGGCCTGGTGCTGGCCTAGGTCTGCCTGAAGGATGGGACTGGCATGGGGAGGTGCTCCCTGGGAAGGGGTCCAGAACTGTGGAAGGTTGTGCGGCTGAAGAGGCAGCATTGGGGTGGTGAGGAGAGGAAGGTGCTGCAGGACTGTGGGTTTGGGTCTATCCCTATTGCTTTTCCGTTGTGGGAAAAATGTCCCTCTTGACTGTCCCCTTTACCTCCAGCACAGCTCCCTGCCTCTGATGCTGCCTTGCCTCATCTCTAGCATCCCTGGTCACTGGTGTTTGTTAAGAGCTCCAGCCCTGCCCTAAGCCTGGTTAATGTGTGTAGGTGCACTGGGAATGGTAAAAATAAAGTGCTCGGGGCTGTTCAGAGGCCCACACTGCTTTGCTATTTCTGGAGTGCCCAGCACCCCTGAGAAGGTACAGTCACCTCCACTGCTCAAGGGCACATTATGGGGGCAGCCAGCTGCCCAGTGTACCCCACTGCTCCTTCTCCACTTGTCTTCCCCAAACTGGATCCCAATATGTGCCTGCCCCTCTTCTGAATATCTTCAGCCTTTGCTACTGTGAACTGTAACCCTTTAGGTTTCCATCCCTTCTTCACACCCCTGGGCAAGCAGGGACCCAGGCCTGTGTTTGGGCCACTGGACACACCAAACTGCTTGCCCCACTGGTGCAGGTCAGCCTTCTCACAGGATGAAAAGGATGTTCATTGCTGTCTCCTGTCCTAGTTTCAGCAATTCATTTCTGCCCAGGTGGCTTATTTTATCTTTCCCCAGGGTTTCAAAGGCTGGTCCTTCCCTGTGAGGTTTTAGCTGAACAGGTGACCCATGCATCCTGGCTGGTTACAGAGCAGCTGACACTGGTGCTCCTGTGTTCATCAGAAGCCATTTGGGGGGGGACTTGTCTTTCTCTCTTGCAACAGCAGGTACCAGAATGAGTCAGATGTGATATCAAAGTGACTGGCTTGCAGACATCAAGGTTCCAACCTGGTCTGGCACCAGGAAGCTTTGACACTGACCTGATAATCTCACCCCATATTCCCTTCTGCTTCTGGCACCCTGAGCAAGAGCATCTTTCAGACAGCTGCTTTCCAAAGGAAACCCTCCCCAAACCACCTTTCCACATCGCAGGGTGGTAACAACGCACCAGAAGCAGCTCAGGGAGGGACCTGACCTAGCTCTTGCCACAGGCAAAAGCAGCCTCATCTCAGCATCACTGACAGAACCATCTGACCAGCTTTGCAGCTCGTGCAGTGTCCCACTGCGGGGTTGGTGAGCTGCCATTCATCAGCAGAAACCAGCTCTCCTTCACCTGCAGGAAATCCTGGGTTTGGAAAACCAAATGAAGAGGGTGCATGAGCCCGAGGGTTTGCAGTTCCCCAAGGCACTCCAACGGCTCTCACCCCCTGAACTGGCCACCAGGTCAATGCAGAAGGTGGGCTTGTTTGTGCCCAGGATGCACTATATCAGCCATACTGACAGCGAGCATATCTCTCCAATCAGTGACTGTGGTGACTGTGTTTTGTTTTGCCACCAAATTCTGCTTTGGAGACTGCTCTGTTCAGATAACTTCTCCAATGCTACCTGCCTTCACACAGAGGGACAAGTCAGTGCCCTACTTCTCCCTGGGCTGGCCCACTTCTACACAGAGGGAGCAGATGCTCTTTTAAATAAGTGCTTTTGATGGTTCCCAGGCTCTGGAGAGCATGGCTGGCCTGCTCCCTGCTTCAGTGTGGCCACGTGCCCTCTGTATGTTGCTTCACCACCCAGTCACTCCTCTCACTGTAGTGTGTTCAGGGCAGCACATGGGTGCTGGTCAATGGGGGAGTCAAGGCTGAAGCTCGAGCTGGGTGGAAGTCTGCTTGCCCCCAAGCAGTTACTTTTAAAGCTCATTTGCAATAAACACTTTCCTGAAAATTACCTATTATCCATCCATCTTAGCAATGGCAAATTCCTCAACTGAATCAACAGTGTTGTGTTTAGTCTATTTTTAACTTAATTTTCAATTCTCAACATAATTCCAATAACATAGGTTTGTGTATGTGCCCTTTATTTTACCGAAACCATCTCCTTTCCTCCCCAGGAGCTCATACAAAGGCTGCGTTCATCCCTCCCTTGTCCAGTCCTGCCTTTCTGTTGTGCTTCCTAATTGCTGCATAAGGCCACATCCTGGTGGGAAAACAAAAGCCATCTATTGGAAACAACAAAAGGATGAAATCTCAGTTCACTGCAGCTGTCCTTGCTGCTACTGACAGCTCTGCAAGTTTGTTCTGGAAATACGTTTCAGCTGGAAAATTGGCAAATTCATGAGTGGTGCAAATACCTGAAATCCTTCTCTGCAGGTAAAATGCTCCGAGCCTGGAATAATTGATGTATAGTAAATATTTCTCTCTTGGCAGCCAAAACATACAGCTAGTGTATATGTTTGGCAACTGTGTCTCTGTTGAGTGTTTTGGCAGTATACTCATGTTTACATCCCTCACTCCTCACTTCCTTCCTTTGCAAGGGAGGCATGCCGTAAGCGGCAGGATAGAAACAATCTCTGCTGTCACTTAGCAACCTCTGCTGGCTTTGAGATGTAGACTTTTTTCCTTCCTGGATTTCCCAGCACAAAAAGAGATGGTCACGTACCTCATTGCATAGCTAAGGCTTGCAGCTGTAGCCAGCTAGGGGTGCTTTGGTCTGGTCCAGTCTGAATTCCTCTCGGAGCATTGCATCCATGTCCTGCTGCTGCTCCAGTGAGCAAGGCACTGGGAGTTAATGGGTCCGCCCTGTGTTTTGTCATCTTGGGTGCAGGGATACAGCTGGTTGTGCCCAGCTATGAAGGCACTTTAAATCTTTTAGGGTGTCTCTGTGGCCAGGCAGCTGGCAAGATAGACTCTATGAGGCAGGCAGTAGTGAGGTGCTACACATATAGCCCATATGGTATAACTCCTCAAGCAGAGCTCAGATCTCTCTCTGCAAAAGGACTGGAAGTGGCTGGGCTCTCAGGAAGATGATGGATGTGGATGGGGACATACTGGCACCAGCTGAAAATATTTCAAGCAGTTAGGAGAGATTTTGCAGTTATAAAAGGTGCAGAGACTGAGCAATGAGGCTCGTCCTCTCTGGCTGGGGAAGAGCTCTTCTGAGCTGAGCCTGGCCAGGGATGCTGTTGCTGCCTGGTCATGGCAGGGTCACAGCACAGCAAAAGCTGCACAAGCCACCAGGGCGCCACCAGCCACATCCCAGAGGATAGAAGCATCTGGGAAATGTTTTGTGCATGAAATGTTCCCTCAGGGAAGCACTTGGCTTGCCTGTCTTTGTGACCAAAGAAGCAGGCATGCTGCCAGGCTGCAGCAAGGGAGTACAGCTCTCTTCTGGGGTACCCAGGGCTGCAGGGAAACATCTCTGCAGGCTGCAGTGGAGCACGGTGGCTGTTTTCTGCCCTGCAACTGGATGCACCCAACTAAAGGATGCAGCTGAAGGTCACAGGGCAGGGGAGAGGCCACTATGCCAGATAGGATAGGGACTGGGGTGTCACAGGCTGCAGGGGAGAGGCAGAAAGAGCCTCCTCTTTACAGGGGGAAATGCTGCAGCCATTCTGGCTTTCTTTTTCTGGCTTTGTGTATTTTGCAGCTTCAAGGTCTGAGCTCTCCTCCTGGCATGCAGGCATAATGCAGATTGGGACCTTCATGTCAGCACCAGAGCGCCAGGTGCTGCTAAGACCTTGGGAGCTCCCATGTGCGTGGCTTGCGCTTCTTGACCACACCGCCTCCTGCTTTGCACCCATCAGCTGCCTGAAAAGGTCTGCAAGACTCTGGGTCTGTATCTGAAGCAAGAAGGAGGTGAGGAAAGTCCCTGGAGAGAAGATTATGTGTGAAGGAGCCTGCCTCTTCTAAATACTTTCTGGGGGGAGGATACAGCCTCATCTGTGCTCTGCTTCCCCTGGGGTCTTGCCTGCTATCCTGGCAGGGGAGCATGCCTGGCTTTTCACTGCAGGCATCTGCAAATCTCCACTCTGGTAGTTTTTATATAACCTATTTTTCATGAAAGGAATTGCACTGGTTTGTGTTTATAAAGCAGCCTGGGGATCTGATCCAAATGTCCTCAGTTTTAACGTCATGCTACCTAGTTAGGAAGAAGTGTCTGTGGGTATAAGTTTGTGGGCTCAGATGCTACAGCTGCACACTGAAGCCATATATTTTTTGGGAAATCAGGGCAGGACAAATCTGCTGTCTGTAGGCATGGTCTGAATTACACTGGAGGCTTTGGCAGTGCTGGGGGTCCTTGGCAAGCTGTGCAGGAGCTGGCGACATCTGGAAGTGAACAGACCACACTGATAGAGGCAGTGGTGCTTGTGGGGCTGGCCTGCCATCCTGGGGAGCAGGGCACCCTTCCGTCCGTGCTGGGGAGATGTGGTTGGGGAAAGTCATTTCTGCCTGCCAAGCCTGGCACGTGGCAAAAGGAAATGATAAATACCGTGGGGCAAAACTGAGCGCAGGATAAAAACAGAGCATGTTTAACCAGCGAGCAGTGCAGCTCTGTGTTCCTGGGAATTGCACCTGGTGCTCCCCAGGAAAAGTTTTGTTGCATGGCCCTCTGATGCTGGTTTGAGTCTTTTTTTCAGGGTTATTCAGGTTATTGCAAGAAGCCTTGTAGTGGTCTCTGCTAGTGCTATCTGTTTTCCTTCAATTTATCCACTCTTAACTCTCAAGAAATTCGGAAAGCCAGGCTGGGCTCTGCATCGGGGTTTGGAAAAAGCTGTCTGGAGAAGACAGAAAAAGCAGAGACCTGAAACTACACGCAGGTGCCCTTCCTCTCTTCTTCACTGTGGTCTTGAAATTGTCGGAAAAATGAGCACCCTCTTGATAACATGGGCATGCATAATGAAAATGTTTGTGTTTTTTCTTTACTTGGTTGTTT